ATTGTTCATTATTGTATAAGTTTTTAAGAGTTTTCAGTCCTGAATGCCCTGCAGGGACACATATACACAATGAGGTGGACAGAAAATGGTTCTATAATGACAATAAAGAGCACAACAGAAGTTACAAAAATAAAGTACCAAGTCTAGGAAAATATTGCAGCATTTTTCTTCCTTTGAAAAGCATGTTATTTGTATCTCTGGGAAATTTTTTTTGTTTCTTTAGCTCAGAGCAGAAAACACACAAATACACTTGAAAAAGCAGGGACTAGCAAAAACTCCTTAGGGATTTGAGTATAAAATCAGTATTTATGGTGGTCTGCTGCATTTTACATAAAATGGTGCACATCTATATTATCACAACAATTTAAAAGTTAACAAGATCTTCACATACGTTGTTCTTTTATTTTATGAAATAAGCCATCATAATAACTTCATTTAACAGAAAACATATTGCACTGATGAATTATTGACCCTTCTTTCAACCTAACCTTATACAATCCTTTGGATCAAGCCATAATTAAAGACCTGATTATTTGAGTGAAGTTGGTGCAACGGCAATTTATGCAGGACAAGCGTTACACAGTATTGTTTACTGAGTGGTACTAAATCATAGTTACACAAGATAAAAATTAAAACAAACAGGAAATCTTTAAGTTTAGCTACCAGTCTCAAACAGATTACTAAGTGAGGCTGACTCAAAGTCATGCTTTATTGTACATTCAAATTATTTCATAAAGTCACATTTAAAGTGCAAAAGGACAAAAAATTCAACCAACCCAGAGTTAAAAGATCCAATTTGGGAATGATAAAATAAGACTTAAAAGCACAGGAATAGTTGACTTCTGGAATGATACTAGAAAGATTTGTGACAATCATCTTTCTCACTTGCCACGCCATAGAAGGACAAGGGAAACTAAGAAGCAGGGCTGCAATTTTATCTGCAAAAAACTGATTAAACCAACGTTTTCTTGGAACAGTCTCATCAAAATACTCTCTCACTTTCCAGTGAGCATTCTAATCAGAACTGAAATTCTTCTATTAACTCTGAAAACAACAGCCATGTGAGCGATAAATAATCCAGCCACAACAAAGCAGTAGATTGTTATTAAATAGAAAGGTAAAAATCATCCTTTCAGACCCATGGGGCAAAGTTGAGACCTCTGGCAGAAATGGTGACTTTTCTGTCTCAGGATAGAAATGGACCTTTTTTCTGATATTTCCATGCTCAAAAAGAGGACAACTTCACCACCACCACAGTGGTACCAATGCCAACTATGAGCATGGCAAAACCACAAGAGGTAAGTTGACCTCAGTGCAGTCTTCCAGTCCAGAATGTGATCCAGGCAAAGCTTAGGTCATAAAACATTTTCCACCTCTGAGGACAGATAATTATTCTGCAACAGCTAGCGTAGATGCGGAACGACAAAGAGATACGGTATGTATCTCTTTGCCTGAAGTAAAAATTTGTAATGGAGGCTGGAACGTTCAAAAGGATAATAAACTTCAATGGGATGAGAGTAAGGCAAATAATGAGTACTTTTAAGAATGCCACCCAAAAAATCAAGTGACCCTCTCGATAAATTTGTCTGCCTCTCACAATTTAAAAATGTAGAATAGACACGTGCTCCAGGTACACACAAAAGAGACTCCAGTGCCTAAAAGTTAGTTATTGTAGTGCCAAATTTTTAGATATCTGGCCCCCAGAACCCTGTGTTAGGCATTTAAGCTCCTTAAACAGTATAATGAGAGTGCTAGACACCACAGAGCAGACTCCAAAACAGGTAGCATGGCGGTCCCCTAAGAAGGGCGTTTTCAACCTTTTTTAAGAAGTGTACCCCTTCTGGTGGTGGCGGCTGGACACCAAGCTGGGGGGAGGGTTTGCACGCAGCGGCTACTGCCACCACACACCTCCCCATGCCCCACACTGCCGCTGTGCCCTGCTTTTCCACGGCCAGTCACACATGGGGCTCCGCAGGCTGCAGATGAGCCTTGCACCCAGCCAATCACACGCTGCCCATCAGCAGCCCACGGAGCCCCATGTGTGACTGGCCATGGAAAAGCGCGGTGGCAGTGCAGGGAGGTGGGTGGCAGCGGTGGTACAGGGTGGTTGATGGTGTCAGTAGTCGCCATGTGCAAGCTCCCCTCTCCCCCCCACATCTGACTGGTTGGGCGGCATCTGCGTGCCATGCAGAGGGGCACTGCTGCCCTTGCCCCCACACCCTGGTCCTGCTCCTGGGAGATGGCAGTGCTGGCTACTTTGGGGTGATAGGTATTTGCTCTCCACTTCTCCTTTGGAAGGTGTGCCACTGTGTAGAAGAGAATTCATGCTCCACTAGATTAGAAGGAGAAAGCAAAAATAAAGCAATTCTGGTTAGAGCAGTCCTGGGGGATTCCAGTCTCCCTTTCCTAGGACTTTGTCTGTGCCTGGAAGCAGGGACCAGAGCCAATGACATCTCTCTTCCCAGTGGAGTGCTTAAACCATCCTGTTTATATGGATCCAGTGACCCCCAAATTGTATAAACCCATGCGCCCAAAGGATCAAAAGACAAGATGCTAAAATTCAGCTCCCAGTTGGGAGAATATTTCACTCTATCCCCACCTCTTAACAATTCCAACCATATTACTCTTGCTTTCATATGGGGAAGTGAATTTTATTCTGGGTATTATTTAACCCATTATGATTATATTATAATTGAATCTGTGGTAGAAGAGATGCCTTAGTAAGAGACCTTTAATGAAGAGGTATTTGTATAGAGACATAGCAGCATGACTTTGTGCCCATGGCAGCCACACCATGCCCAGGGCAGAGCCTGCTCCTGCCTTGCAGACTGCAACAATGAGATCCATTGCCATCCAGCAACATCTGCTTTTGTGTCCGTCCTCAGTTACACTACTGTATTTGTACCCCCTGGTATAAACCCATGAGTTGACTGATGCTGACTACATGCAAAAGAATATTGTTTTCCCAAGTTCCCCTAAACCACATCTATAATGCTCTAATTCAATGGCAGATAACAGAGGATATTCATTGAAATTTGCAAGCAGCAGCCGAGAAGATCCACAGTAGATCTCCCCCCTAACAGACAAAGGAGAAACTAAAACAAAACACGAAACTTCTATATAACCATTTAACATCAAATGCTACACATAAAAAATATACTGCATACATAGGCAAAGTCTAGGAGTGATCAGGACAGATCAGCATTGGAACATAAACGGACTTTCAGCACACACAAGCAATTTTGACCATCCCAAACCTCTGCTCAGCTACCACCTAACCCCACAGGCTCTGGTAAGTTTTTACCAGTAAAGTTCCCAAGGTATCTAAACTTAGGATCTGCACATAAACTCAGTATTCCCAAGAGTTAGCAGCCTCAGCACCTCTCAGGATCCACAAATTTAGCATTCTTGCTTCCACAAGAAGGCCCAATCAAACAGGCATGCTCTGAGCTACAGAAATAAAAAACCTAAGGGATCAGATGGTGCAGAACAGAAAGTGGCAACAACACATTTTGTACAAAAACACAGATGCACGAGGAGGGGAAAAAAAGGAGTTGAAGGTGGAATTGATTCTGTGTAACAAGAAAGTGACCTTTCATAAGGTTTTTTTGATAAAAAGAGTGTAGGTGCATAACTCCAAGACAAAGTTCAGGGCAGAACCCAAAATTGAGGAAAGCACCTCCCTGTACCCCAATATTAAGCACTGAAGCTCCCCCACAACACAGACCAAAAGGACCAGGATTCAGACATATCCAACTATTTTGCATTTCTTGTCAGCTATCCTAGCAGCTTTCCAGTCAGTGTTAATAACTCCATTTTAAAGTATCCATATCTCCCCATGCATTATATAGGGAGCTCAGGTGCTTAATTCAGGGCTGGAGATTACATTCTGTGTGCCCAGAAGTTAGGTGTCACAGTACTCAGCACTGACATGTCCAAGTCTCTTTGGTATCCAGTTTTAATCTTTACTAAACTAAATTACCAGTTTTAAAGGGACTGCTGCCCAAATAAGGGTTGTAGGATCAGGTCCATTGCAACTTGAGTTGTACTCGCAAATAAGTAGCAACACAATACTCTTAGAAAGACACAGACCTATTCAAAATTATATTCATAAGACACAGCCAATGCTTGAAATTACATTTTGGTATTTCATTTACTTCCTTTGAAAATGTAATTGGAACAACTGATTCACTAAGTAATACTCACTTTCTGATCTGAAATGCTTTGGACCGTTTCTAAAATAATACCATTCCATTTTACTTGCAATGCTTTAAGAGAATTAAAGTTTCATGAAAATAATACAATATCTTTTTTTTTTCAAAATGTGTATTTAAATCCCTGCTGGAACCTAGATCTCAGTCAATGCCTTTAACTTTTTAAAAGTATGAATAAAGATCCAGTGAAACAGGATATTTATGCTTAAAATGGTTAAAATATGCCAGCATTTCTTCTGTCTCTAGATTTTTTGAGACAGCTCACTGCAACTATAAAACCTCCTAGAAACATGGGGAATGACTGAATATTGCTATCATTTTATAAAATAACTATTACAATTATAACACAAACAATAGCGTTCACAGTTTTGTGAACACCGTGAAGAGATATTTCTTATTATTAATAGCACTGCTTTAAAAGCCAATTCAGCTTATAGAATTGAGAAAAAAATGTAATGCTTTCTAAGTACAGTATACCCATTTACTAATTTAGCTACAGTAAAAACACAAATAATCATGATATAGGCCATCCATGATATTTAATAAAAAGGGAATAAAAATCAAAGGCACAAATCTAGTTCTGAATAGAAGCATCTAATAAAGCTAGCTTAAATTAATTGTTCCCATGAACACCTCTTTGATTCAAGAAGTGCATGTAGCTTGTAGTCTGCTGGCAAAATAACAGGGTTTAGCAGTTAGTCACTCTTATCTTCAAGTAAGATGATAAAGTTTGAGTACCCATTGTAAATCTTTCGAGCTGATGAATGAAAGATGATAACCCCTTGATCAATATAACTCATATTTATTCATCTGTGGGAACATGGAAAGGATATCATAGGCAATAATGCCACCAAGGAAGATACAAATTACACAGAAACTCTTTTGGCAGCAACAGAAACACACATTTACATAATCACACAAACCACCCCCCCTTCCCCTAGCTCCAGATAAAATTTAAACACAGGAACCGAACGCACAACTGCCCAGGAGAATTTTTGTTTTTAATGAACGTGTCAGTTACCTTATCTGTCCCTTTTTAAAACTGTTGCAATACCTGGCACTTAAGAGCTCACTTCCCATTCTCAAAACATTTTATACACATTTGATAACTGTAGTTACACCCCAGTTTCTCATTTGGCACATGTTCCTGGTTCTCTCTCTGTGTGAGAGATGGCAAATTCCATTTGTTTTCTCCATTTTCTCCAAGGCAGCTTCTAAGCCCTGTAAATGCTAGACACATAATGTAAATTTATAGTGAACTGACTACAGCTTAGAGCCAAGCAGTCTTTTCATTCTGTGTATTCTGCTGTACAAGCCAGTAAAATCAGAGAAGGCAGAATGCAGTTTAATGTAAACCATTTGGGGTGAAAGGTGTGATTTTGTCTAGTGAGATCTCCCCCTCACAGTCCAGATCACACACTGAGTCGGTAGCAACCTCATGCTCAGGAGAGATCTGGGACATCCTGTCAAAGGGGTCCTCCTGGTCATCCTCACAGTCAACCACATTAGGGATCATGTTCACATAGGCAGTCACTATCTCCTGATGGAAAATGGTGTCCTGGTTGTAAGAGATGAGCTCGTTGCTTATATTGACTGTCTCTACTGGAGTGCTAGAGCAAAACTGGCTGCACCCCAGGAGGTTGGAGAAGACCTTCCTAAAGTCAGCATTGAAAGCATAGATGATGGGATTGAGAGATGAGTTAGCCCAGCCAAACCAGACAAAGATATTGAAGGTGGTCTCACTGACACAGGGAAGGCCAGCCTGTGGGTTGCTAGGTGGGCTCTCGCAGAAGGGGACCATGCAGTTGAGGATGAAGAAGGGCAGCCAGCAGCAGACAAAGACTCCCATGATGACCGAGAGGGTCTTCAAAACCTTGGTCTCTTTCCTGATGGAGCTCTTGAGGCTGGCATGGTGCTGGCAGTCAATGTGGTTGCTCCGGCAGCTCTGCGCATGCTCGGCTGCCCTCTCGAGAGAGGAGATCCGGCGGATCTGCACCTGGGCAATCTGGTAGATCCGCGTGTAGGTCACGATCATGATGGCCACGGGGATATAAAAGCTGATGAGGGAGGAGGAGATGGCGTAGGTCCTGTTGAGGCTGGAGTCGCAGCTCTCCGACGCCTCCCCGAGGGTCTCGTTGCCGCGGGGGGTCCCGGCAGAGGGCCCCAGCCCCGCCGCAGCCGCCCAGGTGGTGCCAGCGTCCCCTGCCCAGGTGGCCGCGGCGCCAGGCCCGCCACCGGCCTCCCTGCCTTTGTGCCAGTTGAGCTGGACGGGGATGAAGGAGATGAGCACGGACAGGGCCCAGGCCCCTCCGATCATCACCAAGGCCACGCGGGGGGTCATCTTCCTCTCGTAGCGGAAGGGGCTGGAGATGGCCCAGTAGCGGTCCACGCTGATGACGCACAGGTTCAGGATGGAGGCGGTGGAGCACATGATGTCGAAGGCCACCCAGACGCTGCAGAACGCCCCGAAGGGCCAGTAGCCGGCCACCTCGGCCGCCGCCTTCCAGGGCATGACGAGCAGGGCCACCAGCAGGTCGGACACGGCCAGGGACACGATGAAGATGCTGGTGACTTTGGCCCGCAGGTGCCGGCAGCGGACGATGGCCGCGCACACCAGCGCGTTGCCCAGCAGCGTCCAGAGGATGAGCAGCGCCAGGAGGCTGCCCGCCGCCGCCCGCGCCCCGCCGCCCCGCGCCGGCACCATGCCCGCGCCC